ATATATATATATATATATATATATATATGTACTTTATATTTACTTGTGATATAGTAGACATAGAAAACATTGGTATATATTGATAAGTTGGTCCTTCTAGTTCTGAAATTTGTTGTCGTACAATTGAAGCCCATTGATTTGTGGATACACATCGATTTCTACTTAGTCCAACATCATCCATATGACTTTCTATTTCGCATATTATTTTTGCTAGATGTGGTTGCGAAAAAACCTAAATATGATTTTTTTTTAAATTTTCTAAATAATAATACATAAGTCAAATATCTGAAAAAATTTAATATACTTTTGTAACTCTAAATAACATTAATGCATTTTTTGGAGCCACAAGATCTGTCCTCATAAATCGTGGAAGTAATTGTTGGAATATTGCTGAATATGCTAACAAATTATGTGCAATAAAAGGCATCCATCTATTTGGATCATGTATCTTTCCTCTTTCTTCTTCTTCAGATTTACTATAAAAAAAACAAAATAATATCTAATTGTAATTTATCATAATAGATTTTTTTTTATATACATACCCTTCTTTTGTATATGTTATACTAGGAAAATATCTCCATGGTTGAATAAAGCTTAACCATGCTTCAAGAATTAATCTAAAGGAACTATCTAGAGGCCAATGATGTATAGCTTTTCGAAGAAATGTGTAAATTTTGCCTTGGACGGAAGGTAAAATAATTCTATAAATAACATTTTTAACAAAATTTTATGATATTAATATTTAATTATATTTAATTATTGTTTAACTTTTTCTTTAATATTAATATACCGTTTAAGTTCATCCATTGCACTTTTATCGCCTGTGGCACTATTTGCAAATTCATGCAAAGTTTTTATAAATGCTCGAACTAAACGTATATGCTCTCCAGAATGAATGCTATGCTGTAATTATAGTTATATACAAATATATATATTTTATAAGAAAATTTCTATTATATACTTACTCGACGCGGTACGGACGCAGAATATGATGTGCTTAAAGATGAACATAATTTATCATCTTCTATATATTCTACCCAAAAATCAAGAAATACTTGAACTACAGTTTCACTTCTCCAAACTTGTGGCAAACATTGTTGCTGCGGTACGGTTGATGTGGAAGTCGGAGATCCTGGCGATAATATTGATGTTCTCAAAAGTCGTGGTGTTTGCATTCTATAATAATTTCTAATTATAATTTTTCATTTACTGTTAAGTAATTCTGAAGAATTATAATTTTATTTGTATTTTTTATTAATTTATTCATTAAATATTCGAAAAATACCTTTTAGATTCAGGTGATTGTACAAGTTTCCGTTGAGGTGTTTTCCTGATGTATGGACTAATTATTGGCAAAACAGGGGAATTATCTCTAGGTAAAAAATGGTATAAGTAACAATGTGCTAATTGAACATAAACAGTTTCCCAATTAATCCAGACATTCTCCTGCTGCTGTACTTGTAACCATGGGTTTGTTAAATGATATGCAAAATGGAAAATGTAATATTCAAAGGGGTATGTAT